AAACTGGTGCTGCCTTACAGATATTACCCAGTGTCACTTAGCTTCACAGTCTGAGTCATTGACAATGAACTATTCGGACCGCGACTGACAACGTTTATAGAAATGGGATATTTATACTTGTTGGGTACTATCAAGAAAGTTGAAATGCGAATGCTAGTCTAAGTGAGTCGACGTAGCATGTACGATGTTGAGATGTAAGGTGGTGATTGTAGGTAGTCGACAGGATATTGTGGACCTAAGTTTCGAGTTATTTAGCGCCTGTCAGCAAGATATGCTTGTGACCTTGAAGGAACTGGTGCTTGGTGTCGGACTTGTACATCATTAGATCACACGTTAACTGTTCACATGAATTACTTACTTACGCCTGTTACTCCCAATAGAGCATAGGCCGCCGACCACCATTCTCCAACCCACTCTGTCCTGGGCCTTCTTTTCTAGTTCCATCCATTTCTTGTTCATTTTTCTCATGTCTATCTCCATTTCTCGGCGTAATGTGTTCTTCGGTCTTCCGCTTTTCTTTTGACCTTGAGGATTCTGTGTGAAGGCTTGTCTTGTGACGCAGTTCGGTGCTTTCCTCAATGTGTGTTCTATCCACTTCAAGTGTTTCTTTCTGATTTCTTCCTCCACTGGGATGTGGTTTGTTCTCTCTCATAGTAGGTTGTTGCTAATAGTGTCTGGCCAACGAATCCGAGGTATTTTGCGTAGACAACTGTTAATAAACACTTGTATCTTCTGGATGATGGATTTCGTAGTTTTCCAGGTTTCCGCCCCATACAGTAGAACTGTTTTGACATTTGTATTGAAAATTCTGACTTTGGTGTTGGTTGCCAATTGTTTTGAGTTCCAGATGTTCTTCAGTTGTAAATATGCTGCTCTTGCTTTGCCGATCCACGCCTTCACATGTGCATCAGATCCACGCGTTCATCAATGGTGCTGCCCAAATATGTAAAGGTTTTGACATCTCCCAAACCTTCTACGTCAATTGTGATTGGATTGGTGCATGCTGGGTTGTATCCCTTTGTATATGCTGAGACCTACTGCTGCCACACTGGTCGTCTTCTCCTGCATTTGGCGTTGCGTTTGCGATAGAAGAGCCAGATCATCTGCGAAGTCTAGATTGTCCAGCTGCATTCTGGATGTCCACTGTACCCCATGCTTCCCCTCAGATGTTGACGTCTTCATGATCCAGCCGATCACCAGGAGAAAGAGAAAGGGTGAGAGTAAGCAACCGTGCCTTACACCGGTCTTTACTTCGAACGACTTTGTCAACTGTCCTCTATGCACGATTTTACAGTTTAATCCATCGTAGGAATTCCGTATGATATTGACTATCTTCTCAGGTACGCCGTAGTGTCGAAGAAGCTTCAATAGTGTTGTTGTGTTCACATGAATTATTATACACTATTAAAAATAACAGTCTGGTTCTGGAGAGTTATCAGTTCATTTTCGAGTATTCAACAAATGAGAGGCATTCAGCATAGAAGCGTCACATACAAGGGTGGATTCTCCACCGGCGATTTCAGTTCAAGTCCTAACTCCCATTATTTTTGTTTTTCATGCTGGGATGAGCTACACTGATATGCTCATAGCAGAGATAGCTAACTTGAAATCTCCAGTGAAAATTACACTCTTATGTGAAGCACTTACTCACAAAACCAACCGAAAAAAAGCTGAAGTTATTCATAACCTCAAATAGTTCTGGAAAATAACTTAAGTTTATTGACTTCATTTCTTTAAGGTGATATCATATCACTTAAGTTCGACTTCTTCTTAAAATAAAATCAAAATTGCTAGTAATTAAACAACATAATAATTTATTATTATTTTTTATAAAAACAGCAAGAGGAATTAAAATTTCAACATTACTTCCAAAATGTTAATTATAGTTTAATTAAAAGTTATAATCACCATATAAGAAAAGTACCAAAGTAAATTTATTGACGATATTTGCTTCTATCAACTAACTAGTCAAATTTAGTTAATACAGTTTAGAATGTTACAGTGTCAGATGATCAAGATTAGTTGATTATTGAATGATAAAACTATAAAAACAAAGTACACAGAGTAAAATAAAAGGTAATTCGAGTTAAAAAATTTTGTTTACTGGAGCTAATTTTGGTACTTTTTGTTTTGACAATATTAAAAACAAATTTATGCTATAATAAAATAAGACCTTTCAGTAGGAAGGATTTGAATGTGACCAACTTGGTCTCGTGTGCTGTTACGGGTAAGAGGGATGATATCACTTCCTGGCTGCCCACACCGTGGAAGGGTATTTCTTGAGGAACCTGGAAAGGAAGTTTGATCAATGTTGGTTTTAACGACATGAGAGCGTGACCACAGAGCCCAGGACACAACTGATTGAGGCCGGTCGCGCACGGCTTTTTTGTGGGAGGTTCTCAACGTGTTAGCTCTGTTCTTCAAAGGATTAACTATTAGATGAAATACTTAAAAGCGTTTAAGCCCAAGGAAATAGGGCATTATATAGAATTTCTTATGCCTAAAGAAAAATCTAAAAGATCTAAGGAATTTTCAAGTTTTATTGGTAGGTGGAAAGTACGTAACCCAGCTTAGTACAAATGACTGCATATTCGTTTGTTTGCTTTATTCTCAGTACAGATGTTTAAAATAAAAACCACTGTTAAATAGAATCAATAGGAAATCAAACTTGATTTAACACTCTCCTATTTTCATTTACTAGTGGTAAAAGTGTAATGTAGCTCCGGACGATTGGATCACAAGTTTCAAGTCAATTTGGGCTAGAGAAGAGAATGGACCAAAGTAATGATACGCACAGACACCAAGCCTTTATTTAGTCATAAACCTGAGCCAACACTTATGCCAGTTACTGTAGCGCATCACGTGAGCAGTAGTAGAAATGAATAAAACAAGTTCACGACTTTTACGAATACTACGCACAAATTAGACCCGCTCTTACCAATCCCCCCAAATGTGAACAATCAATCTTAGACCTAGAGTAAGGATACTCTAATGACTCAACATACTCTGAAGATACGTCTGTCAGTTCGAAGGCACGTAGTTTGTATCCTCTCAATGGTTAAATACTGCTCGCTCATACACAGAAGTTACGCATGTGACGAACTTAAAATCAAAATACAGCAATACTTACGGAAAAAATTCGGGAGTGGATTGCAGTTAGAATTACTTTACATGGTGTGACACATCAGGCTTGGCCTCTTTCTAGAATAGACACATTAGTTTCAATCTTACATTATACTTCAAGCTAGTACACTATTTGTTACACTTCTAAGATCTAATGGTGAATTGCATGGAAATATTGAACTATAACCAAAGACAGCATAAAAGATTAGATCAGATGAAGCACTGTGAAATAGAAATGCGTGAAAACTCTTCACAACATAACTTTTGTCTTTTGGGACGAACTACTGTAAGAAATTTGCGATGTACACACGTTTACATTTTTCGCTTAATTCAGTTATTTCCAGAGTAATCGTTATTGTAAATACTTACGGTTTACACACGCTTTCTATTTTTAAAAATCAGTATAACAGAGAAAATTCGTAGCTTAGTAGACAGACGTACATCTTGCCTGTGGCAAAGATGAAGTGATTGATAGGAGAAAGTATATTTTTTCAGACACTGACCTAGTGAGTGCAAAACTCCTATGATAAATGAAACAGTCGATTCCCTGACTTCTCAGTAAATAAATGAGGGTGAAGACTAACCAGTCCTGAAGCATCCTAGAAATTTATCAAAAATCAGAAGACGGAATCGTTGTTCGTATACTCCAAGTCCATGAGTGTTTTGAAGGTAGAGAAATAAAATAAGGAAAACATATTGGGAATATGAAATAAAATTAGAAGACACAACGCAATTCGAAATCTGGTTGCATTTACTTCCCAAAGATAATTAAATTTAATTAATTTCTCTTAACCAAATAGTATGGGAAAGGTAACAACAGTTAGCTAGACTTAGTAATGCAAAACTCTTGGTAATTAAGGTGAATTTTAAGAAAAACATTCCGCGAATAATTTTTACTTTATAGGAAATATATGAAAATTTACAAAAGGATCAAGTAAATAGTAAGTGAAATCAATACAGACACAAAGACTCGTTATCAACTAACGTTGCCTGTAAATAAAACAACGATGTGTATTTTGCAAAGATTGGTGAAAAATGAATGAGAGAGTAAATGTTTATGCACGGAAATTAGGTGAATGTACTGAAGATACTAATTTTCTTCATAATCTTTCTTAGATGTTTGTAAATATAGATGCAGATACACATAAACTACACCAAATAATTCAGTAAATTGAATTGATAACGAAGTGTCAATAATAAACTTATGAGATGAATGAGTTACACCATTTGTTACATTTAATACCAAAAAAAGAATAAAATAATTGAACATAGAACTAAGATTATAAAACATACACAAATGTCTTCAAGACAAGTAGAAATATACTAAACTACAAAGAAAAAATTAACAGGTGACACGGTAAATATTTAGACAAGAAACAGAATAAAAGCAAGTAAATAATATATATGAAACATGTATAGTATTAATCATATTTATGAGTGAAAATAAAGATCGAACAAAACAGAATGAAAAAGAGGTGTACCTTTGGAGTTAACCATTTTAAATACACTAGTTTGATCGTCAATGATACGATAATTATCATTGGTATTACTATTACTACTGTTACCAAGATATACAGGAAGAAGACATATGAACCGATGACAGATACAGCTCTACGAAAGCTGACTAATTAGAATGAGCGAGAGAAGTATACACAGAGAAATTTAAGGAAGCCACAAACGAATGTGGTTGATATGAAGACAGAGAAGAAGAAAAAGGTAAACCATACAAGTACCATTAATCATTGTATGTATATAAGTTTAGAATCACATTCATACAAAGTTTTTTGACGACCATAATATGTTCAATGACTTGTATACAACAATAACTGACTGGTAAAACTAAAGATAAATGAATCGAACATATATATATATATATATATATATATATATATATATATATACTGTCGGTTTATATGATTTAATTGATAACTGTTTGAGTCTATTTCAAAGGTTTGATACAAATAAGCTGTTGGTATTATACCCATTCACATACATATTAAATACTAATGATGAAGACGGAATGTACTGCATACATTTCAAGATTCATTTCTATATTTCATTTGGTGAATGATATTTATTATTAATTTAATAATTACGCTCGTGTATCCTTTTGATAAAGTTCTTCAATTTCATGTTGAAAACGAGTTTGTAAGTTGAAACGTTTTAATTTTAATGCATCGGTTACAAGACCAGTGTCTGGTGTCCAAGCTATGGTATCTAAAGCAACTTTTTGTGGTATTTCAAATGTACTTAAACGTTTTTCTCTGGCGACTCGTTGTAAATCTTTTAACACAGCCTGTATAATCTAGAATAATGAAGAGAAAAAAAACAGAGAAGCACTTTAATTGAAATATAAAACGATAAGTTGAACAAGTGATTTATAAGTAAATATACACCACTAAGACATTTGAAAATTAACTAATACATATCGTAACTGAGCAAAGGTTGATAAAAATTACATGTTAATGCGACATTATCCTAAAGTTATATGACTATAATTTTACCTGCAAAATTTATTTTCAATAAAATAATTTAGAATAATGAGACAATGGTGGACGAGACTAATTTATGGACGAGCCAATCAGAAGCGTCTTAGAGATTTCAAGGTTGCGGCGACAACTTCAGTGCTTAATGATAACCTACGATCGGTTTACAGGGAATTTTGTACAAAACGTGATAACTGAGCGGCTATAACAAATAAAACGGCAAGACTATAATTTGTGAACGAACCAATCAGATACAAGATAACAGATCTCGGATTTTAACGCGAAAGTATTTCATCCATTTGGCTAAATAAATTTCTGGCATTATAGCTGATGTCAGTTCGTGATGAAAACCCCATATATAATTCCTAACTAAGGCAAATTATGACAATTACTGAGCACCAGTAACACTGGCTGCAAACAGCTACTACAATATATACGGATGTTTGGAGAGGGTACAGACTACTACATACGCTTGGTTATGTGCATCATGTCGTTATCTACAAGTAGCATTTTGTGTACTCAACAACCGAAGTGCACATAAACAACATTGAAGCTATGTGTTTGAGGATGAAAGAGTTTTTGAGACTATCATAACTCCAGGCACCGACTATTCTGTAGTCGTATGGATGATTTCCTCTACTGCATGCATTACGATTTTAGAACCTCTTTCTAACCTTGACAAGTTTTTGAACCATGTGTAAGAAGTGTATCCACTTTATTTCTTTGGTTTTGTATAGTATATTTTTACTCTATACTGACTGTTTGCTGATTGGCTAATGTTCTCAAAGTCACTTAAGACTCGTTCAAAGGTCGTCCATAAATTAGAGTCTCGCCACAATGGTGAACGAAATGTTCGATTGTTAAAACGAATATGAAGAATACTGATCAATAAATGATAAATAGTGATACAAAATGTGGTCGAGTGATGAATTACGCCTCCGAATGATTATAAATCGCAAACAAGCCCATTAGCTGAGGATAATAGATATCTTAATCACAAAAATAGGAATTGTAAATTTATTATCGATAGGCACTACACTGGGCATATAGTAAATTGAAATAATCACCATCTGAAAATAGAACACTTATAACAACATTGAGACAAAAGACTAAAACTACAAATGAATATTGTGAAAAAATCTCCTAAAAGAATTTAGTCATAGACAAAAAAGACTGAACTCATCCTCACTGAAATTGGGACGCTTGACAAATAATGTGTAGTGCTTATTTTAACTATGGTTGTATCAAAGTTTGTATAATTAAAATAGATGATCAAATTTTAAAAAAAATGTTGAAACGACAGCTAAATAAAACTAAAATTTCGTATGAAATGACCACACAGATAACTTTTAGCTACGATAACTAGATTATAATACACATCAGATTACGTGTAGCCACTTTACTTTTACATAAGCTAATTATACAATAATATCAATGAGGTATTTCAATATTAGCCTAACCAAATATTAACTGGCTCCATACATCACAAAAACAGATAATTATTTCTTCATTTCTATTTGTTGTTTGAATCTTCATGTTGACGTTATAGACTGCACGAGATTGATCAGTCTCTTTAGGGATGTGTAACTTTTGAGGATCTCCTTGATATTCCCAGTAAGTCACAAGTATTCTAAGCAAAAATAGATGGTGGTTAGCCGTGGAATCCAGGTCAAGAGTTTCGTCACATTTAGAACTCATCAGGAGAATGTACGTACATCCGTGCTGTCATTCGCACCGGGACCCGAACCCAGTGAATTTTACCTAAAACACCCACCGTGTCATTCCTTCAGCTGCTGAGTTCAGATAGACACTGGCTTGTGACTGAATGGCAATATCAAGCCAAAAGAGATGGATCATGTTATGTCCCGATAAGCATAATGAATGGTAACTTTAAGATCCATTTATGGACCAATACTATGCATATACTTTTATCGTATAATTGTTAAATAACTGATTTATTGATATTCATATTGCTCTTATTATAAGCTTTATTTTGACCTATGAACTGTTATTATACGTTTTACTATTCCTGAATTATGCCCTGTCTATTAGTCACTGCCTTCCACATTCACAGCCACATTTGGTCAAATTTTGAACAAATGTTATTTTCTATTTCATAGAACGTTGTGGTCTGTTTGATTGGTATATAAACCGAGTATGTTTGAAATACATGATTCATATCACAGAGGCTGAGATTTGTGTTTTGGACTTAACTGGCTGGGCTAGGCGGGAAGCAGGACTCTAGGCTGCTCATACGGATTTACGCGTCACTGATTCGATCGATAAGTCACTGCTCCCTAACTGGCGGTTACAAGTTATAACAGATCAACTGCATGTAGCCCATAACATCAGCGAGAACATTCAAGCAACCAATACAAATGAATTGAAATTCACCCCGTTTTACAATGGTGATCGGGGGGTATTTAGTAGTAGCCAGGCAAGGAAATGAAAGTTTATTTTACCCAGTAATATAATACACAACACTATAAAACTAATAGAGAAATAAATTAGATACGAAAGGCACTTGGCTAAACAAGTTTAGACAAACAGTTGGCAAACAATTTTATCATGACATTAATCCATCAATTACATGATATGTTATATAAAAGTGAATCAATTGTAGGTGTGTCTTTATTTATACCTGAAACACGTTTATTGGCCAATAAGATTAGCAGAGACGTGAGAGACCTTCGAAAGGACATTCATATCACGCCATATGGTGTGACTTTTATAACGAGCCTAAATGTAGTCATAGGGCGAAAGGGATTGACCTTGAATTAAAAGATCATAAGGTAAACAGACAATGGCCGTATCACGAAGTAAATATAGAAACATTATACCATAAGATGACATATTATGCCCGAATTCAATTGTTTATTACAACCATATTTTTTTAAATGAATAAAACTCACTTGAGGATGTTTACAGAGAACAGCCCGTTCTACATGTTCGATAGCAATCGGATCTTTCATTGATTCTATGGGAAGCTTTGAACGAGCTTCATGAAGTAAGTGAACTAAGTTCAAAGATTCTGCTAAGTCAGTAAGCGATTTTAATTTCGGTGACACGAAACAGATTGGATAGTTTTGCATCGGGTCCACATAAACACAAATTTGTTCAACATAGACTGATTGACTAAGAGCCATTTCAACTTTGCTAAGGGAAACATATTCCCCAGCTTGTAGTTTAACAAGATCTTTTTTACGGTCAATAATTGATAAACTTCCATCAGTATGCATTAGACCGATATCCCCTGAAAAATAAATTAATAAGAATAAAATGTAACATACAAAAACGTTTGTGTAGAAAAACTAATTAACACTTTAATTTACAGAATGCATTGAATATGAAGATATGAGTGATAAAATCGAAGTTAATTTCATATCAGGATATCCTCATATACGTTTTGAAACAATTCATGAAACTATCCAAAAGTGATATGTGAGAGAGGAAGATGATTGGTTGTTTGTTTAGTCAGACTAGTAGATAGTCTGACAGTACTGGGTGAGTTATGTATTCCCTTACCCTTATTATTATTGTGATAGTTGTCAGTTTTTGATGTGGAAATATACTTACGTTCTAGTCACGTGTTCTTGGTCTATAGAAAATACACTAAGAGGGTATGTAGTGTAGATATTCGCCTAAGGACAATTAGCGTCCCTTTAGTGTAGACAGGGAAAACAGAACATAATACTGACTTTTGAAAATCATAACAATATTGCAACAATTACATTATACAAAACGGTAGATCGACAGAAGAATTAAATCTGCTCTTAGAGCGTGCACTTGGAAGGAAGGCTCAAATAATAGAAGTCCCATTTATAATATACATGCTAACATCATTAAGCGATTGACGATAACTGTCAAGAAATGTCTTGCGTATTTAAAATAATCTCGAGTCAAAATATGGCAAAACAAACTTTACTTATTAACATGATAGGAAAAGTTAATTAAGAGAAACGTACCAGTACAAAACCAACGTGTGCCATCTTGATCGGTTATGAAATCTCTAGCTGTCAATTCAGGCTGTTTGTAATAGCCTCGAGAAACCGGTTTACCAGATAAAAGAATCTCCCCACGTGGAGACGGTGTATCATAGGGAGAATACCCACCTTCAGGCCATGCTCTTAGACGAATTTGTAGAGTAGGAGCAGGTGCTCCAGAATGATTACATCGTAGATCTCCACACTCCATCAAAGTGCCAGTAGAACATGACTCAGTAAGCCCATAACTGTAAAAGAAATTTGTCAGTAAAGCAGTTGAAGTTTTACATTTAGTTCGAGACATCGTTCAATAATTCACTATCATGCTTTTAACAATTACGTAAAATAATTCTAAGAATAAACACGCTTTTATGTACTAATGATATGTAACACTAAATACTACAGTCCCACCGTCCAAGCTAACTTAACGAAACAAAATCTGAGCCTATGAAGTAAATTAAATTTTGAATGCTTCAAGAATGAAATCCAAACTAGATTCTAACGATAAAGACTTATCTAAAAAAGACACTGTAAACCATATTCCGATACATGCTAACAGGCCTCCTAATTAAATTTAATTTTCCAAGTAAACTAAATGTGTGTTATAGTCAAATTTTTACAAAAACCTACTGAAATGAAAAAAGTAAACAGTTTAGTAACTAATGCAATCATAATATCTATGAAAAGTGCACGGAATTATATCAAATTTCTCTCTCTCTCTCTCTCTCTCTCTCTCTATATATATATATATATATATATATATATATATATATATATAAGACGATATTGAATGAAACTATTGGTAAAAATATTTATGAACTAAAGTTCATCACTACTACATAACACCTGATAAACAATTTTAGGAAATAAAGCATACAAAAACTGAGAATTCTCATTTGTCAAATTAATTAGAGGGAGACTACATTACATGAATAAGAACGATATGAGAAATAGCTAAGTACTTGGCATAAAGCACATGATTAATAATTATTATGAGGAAGTGATATATTTACAAATGTCGAGACGGTTCTAATGTACGAAGCCAAAAACTGAGAACTACTACACCATCATCAAAAAGCAACCATTATTTCTAAACGACCGTCTGTGAACTATCGCGATCGTTGTTGCTACCTTGACGTGGTGGTCGGGCTTGCCTGTCGTGATAAAGCAACTGAGCTATACTGGCTGGAACAACCGTTCCTCAAGGTCCTACCATGCCAGACAGGTCGGTTGAAGAGCGGTAAGACTAAAAGCAACAAAACCAAGATCCGAAGGCGAAGTCGTACTGCTGACTGTACAGAGGTGTGACAGCAGTAAGGTGTTTCCTTCAGACAACCCGCATAACAGTGGTGCTGTCTTCCCACAAGAAGGGGAGGGGTTAGAAATGGTCGACCCTAAAAACACACACCGTTTTATCCCATGCATATCCGTCTCCAGCGGTAAGGCCTCAACAAGTACGGAGCTAACATAAAAAGGTCGTGTGTGACCGACCTCAAGCAGCTGTCCCTTGGGCACTGCGGTCACGCTCTCAGGTCACTATGACCACCTCTAATCCAATTTCCTTCTTATGTACCTCCAGGAGAACCCTTCCACGGCAAAACGGAGTGCCGACAAGATACACCCTCCGTGTATCTGGCGACCCGATGGCTAGTTCTCGTGGACTTGCCGGTGTAGGCATAGCACTAAGCATGAGGGCGAAACAAGCGCTATTAGAGTGGATCCCCGTTAATTGTCGTCTATGCGCTGTTCGGCTAAACGGCTCCGTAAGAACTCGAAAGGATAGGGACACACGTCGTTGCCTTTTCGTCGTTTCTGCCCACGCTCCCACTGACTGCAGCTCGGATGAAGTGAAAGATGAATTTTACAGAAAACTCTCTGAACTTCTTCAGAAAGCTAAACGTTCAGACATAGTACTCGTAGCAGGCGACTTTAATGTCCAGGTAGGTAACTTAAACGAAACAGAAAGACATTTAGGTGGTTATTACAGTATTCCGACACAGCGAACAGATAATGGTGATCGTCTGCTGCAACTGTGCTCAGACAAACGTTTAATTTTAGCAAACACAAATTTTAAGCATAAGGAGAGATACCGTCTAACATGGCGACCCCCAGCACCAAACCAACTAAGGACTCAAATAAACCATATTGCCGTCAGTCATCGTTGGAGAGGGTCGATAGAAGATTGTCGCTCATTCTGGAGTACCTGCTTGGACTCCGACCATGCCCTAGTACGATCACACATCTGCTTGCGCCTCACTGGACGCAAAAAAGCCACACAAAAAAGACTCATTAGAACCGAATTGAGTAATAAGAAAACCAAAAGTAGGTTCCAGGAACAACTGAGGTCACACTTAGGTAGTTCTGAAAACGAGGCTGACCCAGATGTTGATTGGAAAGACATACAAGCAGCTGTGGAAACAGCAGTGACATCTACTAGCGATTTAAACCACAGGGTTACAAAGAACCAATCGATTTCTTTAAGGTCTATTGCACTGATGGATTCTCGTAAACGCATCCCATCAGGCTCTGAATACGATGAAGAGCGTAAAGAAATCAGATCTAGGTTAAGCAAAAGTCTAAGGAATGATCGTGAGCAGTGGTGGGCAACGAAAGCAAAAGAGATGGAAAAGGCGGCGGCTATAGGGAACACAAGACAACTCTACAGACTAATAAAAGAAACTGGAATTAATAAATCAAGTGTAAGTCAGACTATTTTGGAAAAAAAACGACACTTTCATCTGCTCCCACAGTCCAGACGTTTAGAACGATGGGCGGAACACTTTAAGGAGCAATTCAGTTGGCCTTCAGCTACTCTACAACTACCCTCTATTCCCAGACAGTGTGAATGGAACATTGAAGTAGGTCCCCCAACTCTAGCTGAAGTTCAAAAGGCTATAGCTAATCTGAAACGAGGAAGGGCAGCTGGTCCAGATGGATTGGCCCCAGAGGTCTTTAAGGATGGTGGTCTAGTTTTAGCGATTAGGTTGACTAATATTTTAGCTAAAATGTGGGAGTTAGACGTCATCCCATTTAACTGGTCACAATCACTTATCGTCCCAATATTTAAGAAAGGGTCAAAATCATCCTGTGACAACCATAGAGGGATTAGTTGGCTGGCTTCAGACCTGGCTGTGGGTGCATCGACCACATATTCACCATTCGTCAGGTTCTAGAACACAGGCATACTAATCGGCGTCCGACAATGGTGGTCTTCCTTGACTTAAAAGCAGCACTTGATTCTGTAGACCGAGAGGTTCTGTGGCAGTGTCTGTCATTGAAAGGCGTACCTCAGAAGTATATAAACCTTGTGAAGGCTCTTTACTCGAACACTACTAGTCGAGTCAAAGCTTATGGCGAACTGTCATCTGCTTTTACAACCTCAAGTGGCGTCCGCCAAGGCTGTCCACTTTCTCCATTTTTGTTCAACTTCATCATACATCTACTGATGGAAATAACGCTCTCATCGACTGAATTCTCGGGCATCGATCTCCTACCAGGAGGTCCACTTATTGACATAGAATACGTCCTGTTTGGTGAAGACGCTGATGAAATGCAGAGTCTTTTGGTAGCACTGAAGCAACAATGCCAGAATGTTTGGGATGCGCTTCTCTCCCTCTAAATGCAAGTTGTTGCTTCAGGACTGGTCTGCGTCAACACCTGAACTAAGGATAGGGAGTGAAGTAGTCGAACGCGTTGACAACTTCACTTATCTTGGAAGTCTGATCAGCCCTAATGGGTTGGTGTCTGACGAAATCTCAGCACGGATTCGAAAAGCTCGCTTGGCCTTTGCCAACTTACGTCATCTATGGCGAAGGCGAGATATCCGTCTATCAATTAAGGGACGAGTATACTGCGCGGCAGTTCGTTCCGTTCTACTATACGGCTGCGAAACATGGCCTTTAAGAGTAGAAGATATTCGTAAGTTACTAGTATTTGACCACAGGTGCCTTAGAAATATTGCGGGTATCTGCTGGGATCACCGGGTAAGTAATAGTGAGGTTAGACGCAGGGTATTAGGGAATGATGGTAAATAAGTTGATGAGGTTATGAACCTTCATCGACTGAGATGGTTGGGCCACGTGTTGCGTATGCCTGAACACCGATTACCACGACGCGCAATGTTAACCGGTGTTAGGGATGATTGGAAGAAAGTTAGGGGCGGCCAAACCAAAACGTGGCATCAGTGCTTGAAGTCACTAACTTCTGGTCTGAGCCATGTTGGTAGATGCAGACTGCCTGGTTGGGGTCCGCGTGACTATCGCAACCATTGGTTGGAGACTCTTGGTGACATGGCTCAGAATCGATCACAATGGCGTCGGTGTATACACTCTCTGTCTTCCCTTAAACGAAGAGATTAAATTCGCTTCATGTCTTTCTTTCTACGAACTAATTATTTCTTCCTGTATTATATCCTTATAGACAATCTTTCTTTTATATACTACTACCTTTGATGTGACAACTTCTATGGATCCGGTGTTCATCTTGTGCTGATGTGGTATGGCAACTTAGACCGATGCATATATGTGCCTGGTCCTACATTGCAACTGACTGACTGACTGTGCACTATACTCAAGATCCGCCGGCCGGACACCATCAGCAAAAGCCTACTGTGGTAGAGATTAAATCAGCTTACAGCTGAAGAAAAAATTAGGAAATGACGTCGCAGATAGATAGGACACAGTTTGAAGAAGCCATTAAACTACATCGCGGATCAAACACAAGGGACAGAGAATTGAAGCAGATAGAAAAATTATGAACAGAACTTGACAACAACTGGGAAGGAAAACCTGGAACAGAGTTATTTAGAGATCCCTGATCGGGAGCTCATGCACTACAAGGGGAAACAGGTGTAAGTAAGTAAAATATCGTCGTAGTTAATAAGAAACTATTGTTAATCTTTTTTTTTAAAAATATATGGAACTAATATACTTAGAAACCTTTGATTATGAATCGACATCTGAAGAGAGTTCAACTGTTCCCAAATAATGCATACTCGGATACATACATTATTAGATGAAATTGATAAATAGTGATTTCTATGTACAAGAAAACACTCAGAACACTGAGGTCTGTAGTTGAATATATTTATTGAACTAAATTTAATGTATTGTTCAATAAAATACAGTACTCATGACACCATATAGTATCACGGTGATCAAACCGACAGGAACTGAGAATTAAATTAATCCTTCCACAATCATTGATCAATTGTTATTTTAGAATAGCGATAATTCTAACGTTTAGAGTATTTTGGATCGATAGTTGCTGTCATAAATAAAACATTGATTGGAAACCATGTTAATTAGTGACTAATAGTTAGTCAAATTGTGGTGTATGCTACTGATATTGACAGATATAAGCAATATGTATCACCAACCAAAAGTGGAATGCCTGGAGGCAGAAGATAGAGAAGACAGAAGAGAAGAGGGTGATTGGTATGGAAACAAAGGAACAACAAAATCTGAGACAAATGATGGACATTTTGTAAATGAAGTATTATTGTATGGCCCTCAGATTTGACCAAAATAGTCTGTAATTTTGTAGTAAAATACATCTGGTTGTCCCCGCTTGTGTTCTCGTTCACTACAAAATAATGAAGAATGCAACTTAGTGTGGGATAAGCCATATGTTATCGTGTAAGTGTAGGGAAACTAATTTATTTAAGGAAAACAAATGGAGTGAGATCTGAATATGTGCTAAATGTAAAGCGCTCAAATTAATGGTCTTTGACTTCCCTGCTTATAGTGAAAACCTGATGAAATAGTGATATTGACACGTGACATCATATTTAGTCTGTTTGCCATGAGATAATTTAGAAAAACCTTCACGGAGTATATTTTTAGTCGATAAATTCATCTTCCTATATAGTTGGAATAAAATCCTTACCCTTGTATAATAGGTGCGATGCATATATTTGTGAATAATTGTGAATCTTCTGATAACGGTGCTCCACCACAAACAATATAACGAATCCGCCCACCCATGAGCGATCTAACCTTACGGAAAATCAACCGATCCACGAGGAAACTTGGAAAACCACCGTGAATTCGTCGACATTTGTAAGCATATGCGAATTTGAAGAGCTATATGATAAAAGATAACATGAACAAGATAATACTAATAAACATTTTTATGGTAGAAAAACGAAGAGATGGACAACAGCATTACTTTACTTAAATATCAAAATTAGTTTAAATTATTTGTTATTCTAGGATTATTCATTTTAACTGTTAACTGTATTAGATCTGAAAAGATAGTTTCAAACGAGACTGTTTGTCAATTCACTGGAGAAACTTAGCAATCTACTGAATCTGAGAAGCCTATAATGCATAAAAAATATATTACACAACACAGTCGGATAATATACCTACAAAATATACACACAAATACCATTGACTGGGTGGTAGCAGAGGAATCCAGAACATGAATTATATCTGTAAGACGTGTACTACGATTCATTATGCACTAGCTAGCATCAAAAGTCATTAAAACCATTCGATAAAACCTTTGCCAGTTTTCTATAGGCTTGCAAAGCTGAGAATGCATTCGAATGGACAGAAATGATAATTTATATAAGCCTTTTTTCAATTCACTGTTATACACATTTTTAAGATTACCAAAATGATTTAGCACGATTTTAGAGTAATTTTTCATATCTTGCATGTTTAAAAAATTCAAAAATTTCAGTCCAGCTTTTTTTATAGACATCTTTTACAGTCGACTGTTAGCCATTCCAGTTAACATAATATCAAAGTAGGGCTAGCTTGATACAGATGTAGATTGAACCGAAAAATAAGTGTCATAAAATTACGATGGTTTACAAAGTTTTACATCGAGATTTTTATCTAAACAATCGCAAATACACACAAGTACAATATCGTATTATTGCTTATTTTTGAATTAGCACTTCACATTACAATATTCTCATAATTACTGCATGACTGCCATAAAAATAATTCACAAAAGTTGATATGATCTGGTATTTCTATTAATCAGATAACCAATTTTTTTCAAACAAAATGCTACGACAAAGACTATACGAGCTAATATGTCAATAATTATCAATCATTGGTCATAAATATAAGATTGAACACAACTGCAATTATGTAATAATTTTAAAAAGTGAAAAATAATGAATCAACTTAGTAACGTGTTAAAAAGAGTATAATACAATTGATTAAGTCAATCAGTAGTTATCAATGTATGCACATTAATTGTAGATAAGACCGGAGGACACAAAATGATGTAGATAAACTTCAATACAAAATCAGCCACGATGATGCACGTGTATAGTTAATGATAATAATAATGTTTTATTTACTATAAAGTAAACATGACCTTATGCTAAATCACTACCTCTAATTTTTATTGGTTAAACAGTAAAACTGTCAACATTTCATAACAACCGGGTTATCAACATTAACGTTATTTACAGTTTATCAATTCATTAATGTGAACTATAAAATACAAGAATCTTAATATCAAGTCTCTATTTTGATTTTAATAAAATCAGATTTTGAGAAGTGATTCAATGTAGTAAAAATCACTGTTTATGATGACCTTTTCTATTAATAATATTTACTTAGTTATTTATTCTAATCAGACATAAACCAGTTAACTATTTAGATTCTTGAGGTAAACGAAAACATTCCACAATTTGCCAAACAATTGACGGTAAACATTCTATTGACATAAAATATAAAAGGTGGTTTCACAAATGAAAGCAACGTCTGTAGCGGAAATCTTAAAATGGATAACTCATCCACCCAGTACTCATTTATTAATCAGCTTTGATGTAAACTGATAATGCGTGATCTGTGACACTACCCATGCAGCCAAGCCGAAATGAATGTTAGCAGTAAGGTTTCAAACTGTGATCCAATGCTTGGAAGTCGATTGACTCAACTTCTAAACATAATTTTCTGAATGTAACTGAGCGTTAACAATAATCCAAAAATCACCGCGATAGTTCAACATAAATTGTGTGTTACCGGTCGATTATAGCAACACGTATTGATGGTTTTCGATAGAATACCTCTAAAAATTATAAATCAAATGCAGAGCATCCTGATATTCAGTTGCTTATAATAGTGGTCACATTGTACACTTGTTAGATAGGATTTAAGGGCACCAAAAATTAAATAGTTATGTGTTAGTGAACGATTAATGTGCATATATCTGTACGAACCATGTTTATATATGTGTTGTGTGTGAATGAATTAATGATTGCTTTTTACTTTTCGAATGCTTGATTTTGAATTCTAAATACAGTACATTCGTTAGTGCTTTTCTGGTACTTCTTGATTCAATTGCGTTATTTCTGGGATTCTTAGTTCATACTATAATTCAATTACTCCTAATTATCATATTGGCGTCGCGATGGGGCCTGCGATGGAACAGTTAGATATTCATTCGGATTTTGATGCTTATCAGGCTTACTTTGAAAGGTTCAAAATCTGGGCTATGACCAAGGAAGATGATGAGAATATTAATATTGTGGCACATTTTCTCACATTCATCGGAAAAGCCCATTTCTCTTCCTTATACAACTCTCAAGGAACTACTTCTAGACTATGCTAAGTATACAAATTTCGAATGCAGTAAAGGGCGATTTCGTTAAATGATTCATGATGATATAAAAAATTCCACTACATTACGTCACCCCATCCCAGTGCATACTCAAGTTTATGCAGATAATTCATTGAGGAGTTGCAATGCAATTCACGAAGATGGGCACAAGTTTGGTCAATGTTTGTCCTGTGGCAGGTTCCACACTTTTAATTCATGTAAATTTTATAATTCTAAGTGCTTTAAATGTGGTGGTATTGGACATATTCACTCAGTTTGTAATTCTGATCCTAATAAGTTGAGTATTTACAATGATCATTTATCTTTATCAATGATTTCAAAAGACAATTTAGAGTCGTATAGCAGTTCAGAGTTAAATGAAACTCAGAATCCTTCCGAGACAACAATTCCTAATCAATCAACCTATCATATTTCCCATGTTATTGTACCAGATATGATTTTTCCTAATGATTCACATATTTCTGATGAAATTTCTTACAAATCTGGTGAAAATATTTCGGATGAACCTAATCATGATCGAAAAACTGATGTAGTTTTAATTGATGCTGATTTTTCTAATGATCCTTTACTCTGCAATGACATTCTTAATAAATTTGAGGAAACTATTTCAGAAGAATCAAATCTTGATGTCATATCAAATATTATTTGTCCTCATGATGCATTTGTTTCTTGTGAGAAACTTGTTCGATGCGAAGCACGAGTATTAAATGAGTTAGAGTTTGATTACAATTCAGATAATTCCATATCAACTGTTGTTTGTCCTTATCATAAATTCACTTCCAATGTTTACTCTAGTCAAATTGAGGAAGATGTTTTAAATGAAGCCACATTATTCATAACTAGGGGATATGAAGATCCGACATTATTTCGTGGGGGAGGATAGTCTATGGTTCATATTCTAGTTAGTAGTTTCAGTATTCAACCGGCATGGTGATTGTTCACAATCTCAGAAATCAAGTGAGTCTGTTCCGATTTCCGTTGTTAATTCTAATACTAATGAGTGCATCCTAGATAATACAGAATCTTTATTCAATACATTGTTGGACAGACACAGGATGAACTTAAGAAGAAGACGTGCAATCAATTACAGACACCTGGACTCCAATTTAAGCTGTGGCGGATGTGGTGTTTGAATGAATTAATGATTGCTTTGTACTTGTTGAATGCTTGATTTCGAATTCTAAATACAGTACATTCGTTAGTGCTTTTCTGGTACTTCTTTATTCAATTGCGTTATTTCTGGGATTCTTAGTTCATACTATAATTCAATTACTCCTAATTATCATAATATGATCTGATGATAATGGTACTAGTGCTTCAAATGATGCTACGCGAATTAAATATAATATGCAATTTTATGTTACATCATTCAAACTGTGGTGTATGCTACTTATGTCGACAGACATAAATAGTATGTAGCATTAATCAGAAGTGGAAAACCAGGCAGTAGGAGGCTGAGAAGATCAAGTTGAAGAAAACAGAAACGGAAATAGAAAATAATTGTGACTTAGAAGAATCATATATAATTTGAAGGACAAATGATGGAATTTTGCAAATGAAGTACTCGATGTATGGTTCTTATATTTTACTAAGAGATTCTGTAGTTTTATATTCAAATACAACTGGTTGTCCCTACCTGTTTTCTCGTTCACAGCAAAACGACATTTTTGGAGGAAAAACTTATTATTTGGACATTTAAATGGTTATCAAATTCTAAACCATGGTACTTTTTGGATCCCGCGGAAAAAGATTCACCACATGATACATCATCACTGTGCATCATACTCTGTTTTAGACACAGCGGAAGAAAGTATATTACCCAGTATGAAGTTAACTACACTCAACAACTTTATTTCATAAAGTTTAAAAATATTGAGAACTAGATCACGAAGGTTAACAACTAAAATGAACAAATGCACATGATTCTACAAAACTACCAATTACCGTTCAAAAAGTTTGAGATTAGTGTTTTTAATATCAGTATTGACAGATGTAAATTAAATTCTTAAATAAAGAATGAGATTACTGATAAATAAATTTCGTGTCAAACCCTAACAAAAAGATACTTAGTGCTTTTCCAGAATACCAATAACCGGAAAACTGTGAGGTTGATCGTGGTATACATTTTCAACCCAATAAGTTAAGTACTGTTTACCACAGAGATGAATACTAGTATTTTTTTATCTATAATAAATGAAACAATAAACGAAAGCTTATTACTTATTAACGACGGTGACGTTAGAAAGACTTAATAATGAAATCAGAATCTTTAACGTAGATTATATGAATCAGAAACATTTTGACGTAAACTTACAGCTTGAAGAAATTCACCGCCAGCGTTCACTTTTTCCCAAACAGCCTTAGAAATACGTTCTAATACAGTAGGCACACTGGCAAAAAGAGTAGGTCGAAGAAGACTGACATCACCCAAGCAGTGATCTCGTTTAATACGGGATGAAGTGTCTGTTAATGTCTGTGGATTCGAGTAACCAATCTGTGAAAAATTTATGACAATATAATAAAGTTTAGCAATCATATATAGATGTGCGTCAAGTTTAATTTGACTGTATATAACGACAAACTCATGATGTCTTCCAACTAAAAGAACGAATTTACTGCACAATGGTTCACTCGGTTCTACTATATGGATGTGAAACATGGTCATCGAGAGTAGAAGATATCCGTATGTTACTGGTATTTGATTATATATGTCGACAAAGCATTGTTCGTGTATTTTGGGACCACGGAGTAAGCAATGTCAGGATTATGAGTAGGATACTAGGTAAGAACAAGAAATCGATTGACGAGTTAGTAAATCTTCATCAAATGAGGTGGTTGGGACATGCGTTACGTATGTCTAACCACCGCCTACCTCGATGGGAGGTGTTTTCTGGTGCAGAATCAGGCTGGGAGAAAGCTAGGGGTGGCCAAACTAAAAACATGGTATTAGTCTATGGAGTCACTAACAGTTTTCTTAACTATGTAAATAGGCATAGATAGCTCTTAAATTCCCCACAATTTCTTTTGGTCTTAAATTTCACTAATTAATGTTTTCTCCTAGGATCGTACTTAATCTCTTCTATTACCACTTATACTGTTACTACCTCTACTATTCTAGAGTTTGGCCTGAGAACTTCGCCACTTTGTGCTAATGTAGTATGGTTACTTGAACCGATGTACATATGTACCAGGTTCTATGTTGTGACTGACTGATTGACATCTGTATTATAAGACATAAAGTATAAACTTTTATCTGAAGTTTATGCTTTAGCAACGCCATTAATATACAAAGATTTAAACCAAATTTGAGCTTAGAAGAACAACATTATCAATTGTTCTTTGCCTTGGTGACCATAGTTTTGAGAATTGTTTACGTGACACTGATTTTCTCACACCTTTAGTTCATTTTCTTTTCTTTTTGTTTCCTAAGCTAAACTTAACTCAGTTAATTCCCTGGCGTCTAGTATCATATAACCTCTGAAATTGATCTTCTATTACTAGAATCCTGTTTTCATGGTTTCCTCAGTTTACTCTGCTAAGATATTCGTATATTCATCCTATATTTACATACGCCTATTACCCCTTGTGGAGCATAAGCCAGGATTCTACAACCATGTCCCGAACTCTTTTTTCCAGTCAACAACTGTATACGAACTATTTAATCCTTTTGTAATAACTGTCTTTTGAATACTATTCTACATCTATATCAATATTACCATTAACCAAGACTTTTCTGATACGTCAATACTTATCTTGATTTTAATAGTTAAAACTATTGTTTCCAAATTGTAAGCAACTGGGAAGAATTTGTAAAATAAAAGAAATTCATATTAGTCCGCCTGTAGCACTTCTAAGGTTACTGTCGATTTTAAGCCCGGATAAAGGAGGAGGGTTGGGTATGGGCTCAACAACCACATCCCGTAGAAAACAAACTTGTTAAGAAACACTGACCGGAGAAAAATCATTTAGACCATTCACACTTTGCCCTGGGAGTTGGAGGATCTTCATCTAGGAGAATCATGACAATTCCTAGTGAAGGCCGATATTCTTCGGAATTCACGAGGACGATACCCTTCTAACAACCAGAGAAACAATTAATAATGGTAAATGGAATGTCCAGGCAATGTAGGAGACCGGAAGGACATAGGAGTAACTGCAAACATGCTCCACACTATATTCATGAAGATTTTGGGAAAGAACAAGTGCCAACATGCTGAAAAGGAGAGTACCTCATCTAGATGTCAAAAAAATTTCGGTGTGAGAACCACAGAGGCATCACACTATCAGTACCATGAAAAGTTTTCAACAGTGTTGCCGAACCGAATGAAAGAGTCACTAGATGTCCAGCTTCGAGATCGACAGGTTGGATTCCGTAAGGATCGGTCGTGCACAGACCAAATCGATACACTATGGATCATTGTTGGGCAATCAATTCAATCGTCAACATCATACCGAATTCTTATGGTGGACTACTCTGCGAAGCGGTGCATGGAGGACAGCTGATAGATGCATTCCAAGGGAGAACCGGAGTCAGACAAGGCTGCTTACACTAGCTTTCTCTTTCTTCTGATGGTTGACTGGATTATGAAGTCCACCGAACACAACGGACAGCATGGATGCAACTAGACGACTTGAACTTCTCAGATGATCTGGCCCTTCTATCCCATACACACCAACAAACGCAGCAACAGCAGGCCTCAACATATACAAAGGATAACGCAAGATCCTCAAATACAACACGGAGAATAGCAACCCAATCACATTTGATAGAGAAGCACTATAAGAGGTGGAAACCTTCACAAACCTGGATAGCACCATTGATGAACGTGGAAGACTCAATGCAGATGTGAAGAAAAGGATTGCCAAAGCAAGGGCGGTATTCATACAGTTGAGGGACATATCGAGCACAAAACGACTATCAACCAACATCAGTCAGAATCTTCAATACGAACGTCAAGACAGTTCCACTGAACAGAACTGAAACTTGGAGAACTACTACAACTAAAATCAAAAAGGTACAGGTATCTATAAACTATTGTCTACACAAGATACTCAATGTCCGTTGACCGGATACCATTAGCAACAGCCTACTGTCAGAGAGAAAAGAATCAGCTTCCAGTTGAAGAGGAAATTAGGAAGAGACGTTGGATGTGGATAGGACATACATTACGGAAACCACCAAAATGTATCACGAGGCAAGCACTAACTTGTAATCTTGAAAGGAAACGGAAAAAAGGAAGGCCGAAGAACACATTACGTCGGGATTTAGAAACAAACATGAAAAGGATGAATAGCAACTGTAAAGGACTGCTCAGGACAGAGTTTAATAGAGAATGCTGACGGGCGGCCTTTGCTCCTCCACGAGAGGCAACAGGCGTAAGCAAGTACAATTGTTTCTCTTCATTGTAATTTAAACTGACTTTTAAACAAGAATATTGTAACAAAAAAGTATGCAGAAAGTTGTCATGAAACTTACTCGTACACCCATAATGACACAGGATAATTCACACGTAAGCTCTAAAACATGAGCTAGTGGTAGATATCCTATATATATGTCGTAGTTACTACGAAGTTTCGGTAAACGTTGTAGATGACCAGCTATGGCACTCACTAAATTTTCATGGGTCATTTCAACGCCTTTAGGTTGACCTATACAACATAAAAAAGAAACACAAGTTTAAATTTGAATTAAATATATTTTCATTATCAAGCTGATGAGTTAGAAAAAATACCCATTTAGTTCAAGGAACATGTGTTTAACCGAGTCAAAACTTACAAAAGCAACAATAACAAACTATCAAATAAGTTGAGATTAAGGTGGTTCAAAGTTGTTCGTTCAAATAAAGGAAATCAATGCAAGGTAGGTGATTTCGGTACATCAATGTACCAAGCTTTTTTGTGTTCTGATTTAATGAGAATAGGTGAAGGAAAAGAAAATACTAGCCACTTATGATCAAACTAATTAGTAACAATATTAACGTAACTTTATAATTAAATACTGATCTATTTGTTCGGCTCAAACCTTCACAGGAGTTGCTAGTGGTAAAACTGGGTTGCCTGAAGTGGACTTAGAAAATGTATGGTAAATAAACTACCAGAAATTAGATTTGATCATTTTTATATAGCTATCGCCAAAAATGCACTAAACCATTTTGTGACCATAAAATTAATGAAAACGACACAACACTGTAAAGTTTGTAATATGCTTTTGGAATTAACGAAAATATAAATTCCATAAATAACTAAAAATATTTCGACTAATTAATAAAAATAAAAATTCCAATGAAAGTTAAAAGTAACTCAGTCGAAATATAAAATTGTTATCTTTGATTGTTTTAAGGCCAACAACATTTCCCGAACTGAGAGAATGTCCAATCTTTGTTAGATATAATTGTTGAAGTTAACTAATATAGAACAACATATATAAGCGAACAATATTGTTTTCGATTAGATCCTCATCAGGCTTTACTCTAGTATACTAATATAACAGTGAATCATGTATACAATTGTGACTAATCTGTATATGTATTCTTTTAACAATAAATTTAAGGTGAACAATAATGGAATTATGACGACCACACCCAATGCACAAAATACATGTTCACATCTAGTATATATGCTGTTCGTTTATAAACTAATGCGTAGAGTAAACAATTTTTAGTTTGTATAAAGTATAATTTATTAAATACAATTTGTGTTATGTAAATAAATACAAATGGCTAATCGGAAATCAGATAGATATTGTAATACAAATATTTACTTGCATACGTGTTTTGCCTGTAGGCATGATCGAAAACAATATCGGTGTAACTCTTTCAGTTAACATGTTTTCGATTTAATAGGGCTGTGGATAGCATGTAAGTAACTATTACTCTGTAGATCATGAATTCGTAACGACACTGTTCACTGGAGTTTAAACAGTCAGAGAATATGTATAGGAATAATCAACCAATCTTATAATATTACACACATGAACCAATAGATCAAGTATGTTTTAACTATGAAGTAAATATACAAAACTTGAATTAGCAGATATGTTAACAATCGATTTAAAAAATGCCTATATACGATTGATCTGATAAACTCCACGATGAATAGTAAATCTTGTCATTTGCACCGTTTGTTCAGTTCCATATTTATATGTAAAGAATCCGATGTCTTTTAATGATCCTGACTATGTCAAACGTGAATGAATTTCTGTACATCCCTGATACTAAATGAATTACTGCCAAATATTGACTGCTATAGATCAATGAAAGACAATCTTCATTTTTTCTTCCAGATTCAGCTAATCTGAAGGTAGAGGGTAACCACCACCAAAAGGTATTTTAGATACAACAGATAACCGGTACACAACTTTTGCATACAAACATTTTAAGTAAATTGCTGTATTAAAAAAACAGACTATAGATAGAGCCGTTAAAGGTGGAAAAGAAGCATGGATATATCGCAGACAGTCAGTCATATGTAACGTACATAAGTGTATAGGCTCAAGTTTCCACACCATATTAACACAGCGATATGAAACTATCAAGGCAAATAGCAGAGTAGTGACAATAACAGTTGTAGTATTAGTAGTAAGTCAAGTATAGAAAAATACTTTTGGACTCAGGATCTAGTGGCAGAAAATGAATGAACACGTCTAGGTCACCGAGCCGTATCAATTGGCGTTTCCAAACATTAGTTGCGAGAATGATGCGAACTTGCTAGGGTTAGAGCAGTCTGAACCTACCCACATGGCTGGTCCTCAGTCAATGATTTCAAGGACTAATGTTACGCATTGGTCTGGTCACTTATACCTTTTCCTCAGTCAGTCAGCTGCAACGTAGGACCAGGCACGTATATGCATCGATCCAAGTTGCCATACCGCATTAGCACAACAAGATGAACACTGGATTCATAGAAGTAGTTAATTCAGTGGTGGTAATATATAGAAGAAAGAGTGTGTATAAGAAGATAGTACAGGAAGGTAGAATTAGTTCCTAGAAAGAAAGATTTGAAGTGATTTTAATCTCTTAGTTTAAAGGAAGACAGAGAGTGTATACACCGACGCCATTGTGATCGATTCTGAGCCATGTCACCAAGAGTCTCCAACCAATGGTTGCGATAGTCACGCGGACCCCAACCAGGCAGTCTGCATCTACCAACATGGCTCAGACCAGAAGTTAGTGACTTCAAGCACTGATGCCACGTTTTGGTTTGGCCGCCCCTAACTTTCTTCCAATCATCCCTAACACCGGTTAGCATTGCGCGTCGTGGTAATCGGTGTTCAGGCATACGCAACACGTGGCCCAACCATCTCAGTCGATGAAGGTTCATAACCTCATCAACTTATTTACCATCATTCCCTAATACCCTGCGTCTAACCTCACTATTACTTACCCGGTGATCCCAGCAGATACCCGCAATATTTCTAAGGCACCTGTGGTCAAATACTAGTAACTTACGAATATCTTCTACTCTTAAAGGCCATGTTTCGCAGCCGTATAGTAGAACGGAACGAACTGCCGCGCAGTATACTCGTCCCTTAATTGATAGACGGATATCTCGCCTTCGCCATAGATGACGTAAGTTGGCAAAGGCCAAGCGAGCTTTTCGAATCCGTGCTGAGATTTCGTCAGACACCAACCCATTAGGGCTGATCAGACTTCCAAGATAAGTGAAGTTGTCAACGCGTTCGACTACTTCACTCCCTATCCTTAGTTCAGGTGTTGACGCAGACCAGTCCTGAAGCAACAACTTGCATTTAGAGGGAGAGAAGCGCATCCCAAACATTCTGGCATTGTTGCTCAGTGCTACCAAAAGACTCTGCATTTCATCAGCGTCTTCACCAAACAGGACGTATTCTATGTCAATAAGTGGACCTCCTGGTAGGAGATCGATGCCCGAGAATTCAGTCGATGAGAGCGTTATTTCCATCAGTAGATGTATGATGAAGTTGAACAAAAATGGAGAAAGTGGACAGCCTTGGCGGACGCCACTTGAGGTTGTAAAAGCAGATGACAGTTCGCCATAAGCTTTGACTCGACTAGTAGTGTTCGAGTAAAGAGCCTTCACAAGGTTTATATACTTCTGAGGTACGCCTTTCAATGACAGACACTGCCACAGAACCTCTCGGTCTACAGAATCAAGTGCTGCTTTTAAGTCAAGGAAGACCACCATTGTCGGACGCCGATTAGTATGCCTGTGTTCTAGAACCTGACGAATGGTGAATATGTGGTCGATGCACCCACAGCCAGGTCTGAAGCCAGCCAACTAATCCCTCTATGGTTGTCACAGGATGATTTTGACCCTTTCTTAAATATTGGGACGATAAGTGATTGTGACCAGTTAAATGGGATGACGTCTAACTCCCACATTTTAGCTAAAATATTAGTCAACCTAATCGCTAAAACTAGACCACCATCCTTAAAGACCTCTGGGGCCAATCCATCTGGACCAGCTGCCCTTCCTCGTTTCAGATTAGCTATAGCCTTTTGAACTTCAGCTAGAGTTGGGGGACCTACTTCAATGTTCCATTCACACTGTCTGGGAATAGAGGGTAGTTGTAGAGTAGCTGAAGGCCAACTGAATTGCTCCTTAAAGTGTTCCGCCCATCGTTCTAAACGTCTGGACTGTGGGAGCAGATGAAAGTGTCGTTTTTTTCCAAAATAGTCTGACTTACACTTGATTTATTAATTCCAGTTTCTTTTATTAGTCTGTAGAGTTGTCTTGTGTTCCCTATAGCCGCCGCCTTTTCCATCTCTTTTGCTTTCGTTGCCCACCACTGCTCACGATCATTCCTTAGACTTTTGCTTAACCTAGATCTGATTTCTTTACGCTCTTCATCGTATTCAGAGCCTGATGGGATGCGTTTACGAGAATCCATCAGTGCAATAGACCTTAAAGAAATCGATTGGTTCTTTGTAACCCTGTGGTTTAAATCGCTAGTAGATGTCACTGCTGTTTCCACAGCTGCTTGTATGTCTTTCCAATCAACATCTGGGTCAGCCTCGTTTTCAGAACTACCTAAGTGTGACCTCAGTTGTTCCTGGAACCTACTTTTGGTTTTCTTATTACTCAATTCGGTTCTAATGAGTTTTCTGTAAAATTCATCTTTCACTTCATCCGAGCTGCAGTCAGTGGGAGCGTAGGCAGAAACGACGAAAATGCAACGACGTGTGTCCCTATCCTTTCGAGTTCTTACGGAGCCGTTTAGCCGAACAGCGCATAGACGACTATTAACGAGGATCCACTCTAATAGCGCTTGTTTCGCTCTCATGCTTAGTGCTATGCCTACACCGGCAAGTCCACGAGAACTAGCCATCGGGTCGCCAGATACACGGAGGGTGTATCTTGTCGGCACTCCGTTTTGCCGAGATGAGGTCAAGTGAATGACCACGCTAGGATCCTTTATGCGTGTTTCGGAGACAGCATACATCAATCGTACGAGATTCTAAGGTTTTAGCCAAAGAAGCCTGCTGACCGATTTGGCATAGTGTGCGTACGTTGAAGGCTCCAATGTTTAGTTTGGAGCGAGGTTTCAGTAGACCTGGGACAGTGTTTTGCGCACTAGAATCGTTGGCTGTAGTGACACTTGAGGAGGAAGCCGGAAGAGGGAGTTTAGATTTGAAAGTCGATGTAAGAGGAATAATAGGAATTGAAGAGGT